AATCACTATAAATTATAATCACTAAATATTATAATCACTAAATATTATAATCACTATATATGTCTGGTTTTGATATCCCTACTATTCTCAACAACAAAGATAAAATTATTGACTGAAAATATATGGTTCATGTACTGTTTTCCCATATGTTATTTTTTATAGGGATTGGTGTATTTTTTTTGATATGGAGTGGGGGATAGAAGGTCTATTTATATGTTTTTCATTGATTTATTAGACTACTAGCACATGATCATGAAATAGTCAAGGCAAAAAACCTTAATAATTTAACTAGTGAACAATTAACTAAACTCATCAGTAGGATTAAAGAAAAGAAAATTATAATTGACTCTTTTAAAGGAATTGTTTTAATGGACTTACTGGCTTATGTTAATAAATTAGTAAGAAATGGAAACACCCAACATGCTCATATTTCTCATTAGTTACAAAGATAGCACCCCCTACTTTAAAACAATTGAGCATCAATATAAAAAAATGTTACGCATATGTAAAAAGGGGATGCTATATTTCCAGACTTTATGGTACTACTAATTTCTCAATAATCACCAACCAAAAAGCAGTAATTCTTTACTAATTGATGGTTTAGTAATTGCTGGTGTCTCTGTGCTAGGAATTGGTTATTGATTAGGACAAAAGAGAAAGAAAACTCTCTATGAATAAAAGACAACAATTCTTAACTTCTTTAATTAGTGAAATAAATAAATCAAAGCCAAAAAAACAAGCAATTATTAACAGACTATCGGAATTAGAAACTGAAACTAAAAAAGACTGTTCACACTGTCAACATCAGAAATATGTCAAATAAACTTCAGTAATCAAGGAGGGAAAATGAAAATAAAAGCCGATTTAGCACAAAAAATCCAGTGTGTTAGGAATTAGATGACTTAATTAGGTAAGAAATATCGAAAAATATTTGGGTAAAAAACCACCAATATCTTTTACTTAAAAATAGTATTATGCCTAATTGGAAAACATACAGAATTGTAAAAATTGAAACCGAAGGTTCAACAAGACCAATTTTGTTTCACTTAGATAATCATATAAGTTATCAAAATGGAGGATACAAATTTATTTATTGTCACAATTGTCTTCCTTTCACTGCTTATAAAGTGGGCGATTACATAGAAATTGACTTAGAAATAATGGCTAACAACAAATTTAAGCATGTCTTTAATGAAAATAAAAATGTGATCCAAGGAATTTCATGTGAAGCTAACCAACCCCCTCACAATTTACCAACACTTTTTGTGGAAGAAAATTTTTCGCAAGCATTAACCATAGGATGAATGATTGATAGTCTAATCAAACAAAGTAATGGAGAAAATGAGTATGAAGCCAAAATAGAAGTTGATCCGAACACTCATAAACTCAGTTATTTGATACTAGGAAGGAAAAAAGGTTAAAAAACTCTACAACAGTCAAACATAATCTACATATATATATTATCTACTGAAAAAGCATAAAAGCATACCTCTAATTTAGGATTTATTACTTTTTTTTGCTTTTTAAAAATTAGTATTAATTAATTTGGTATTCATACAACAATTAACTGAAATGGAATTATATTTTTTCTGCTTTTATCACATATATATTCACAAGATATTTTCCTAAAAGATTTTAAATTCTCATTTATGTAAGAATTTAATATTTTGACTTGGAAATTTTATTTGCATTAAATATTGTTATTCTTAAAAAAGTTATTATTTATTTATACATGGAAACAAAAACCAAAACCTAAAAAAAATAAATAATTGTAATAATGAATGAATATCTAAATGGTAAACAAGTATTAATTATTCTCTTCCTTGGTGAACTGTCATTTTTGGAGCTTCTAATTTATTTAAGAATTCTAAAATTGTTTCATCACGAACTTCAGGAATATGATTTAACACCAAATAACGTTTGTCATCCTATATTCATATATACAAATGATTCAACTGTTAGTCCCTTGAATAGAAAACAATAAAAGTTTTAAATATTAAATTTTTTACCTTTAGTAAATCATTAATTTCTTCTAATGTTAAACCACGAGCCTTTTCTTTCATGGTACCAGTTTCATCAGCAGCCCCATCTTCTGACAATTTAACCAATCTTGTTCTATACTCCACTAATTTATTTTCTTGTAATAGTTCTCTGAACTCTTCCTTGGCTTTAAGAATTCTTCTTTCCAAATATTTATCAAATAGTTCCTCTAATACAGTATCGCTTTTTGAAAGTCTAGAAGACCTTGGATCATCTTTAATTATATGACTAATCTCTAACCAAGTAGTATCTAAATTCACATGCTTATCTAAAAGTTGATGATATGCTTTTAAATTTTTCTGGTAAAGTTGATTGAGATGCTCATTGAAAAGCTGTTCCCTGTCACCATCATTCAATCTTTCAGAATGGTAACGTGAATCACGCTCTAGATCTGTTTTCTTTGTTTCCCAAGTTGTCTATACAATGAATCATAAATAAATAGTAAACATAAGCATGTTATGATAATCAATAAATTATTAAATTAAACAAAAGAAACAAAAATTACCTCATGAGTCCTTACTAGATCAATTAAAAGTGTTCGAAATGCTAGTATAGATTCTTCGTGTATAGCTTGTCTCTTGGCGCCATCTTTATTACGTTCTTGTGCTTTTTTTTCTTTTCTAACTTGCAATTCACGTTGCCTTAAACTTGCTTCTTCCCTTTTTTTTTTTTTTGAAAAAAATCCCATCAATTATTATTAAATATATTAAAAAAAAAGTTTATAAAAAAATATTTACCTGGCTTTCCTTTCTCTTTGTTTCCTTTCATTTTCTTTTCTAATCATTTCTTCTTCATCTTCTGCTTCTAGTTTTCTACAAAATTCACGAAATAATTCTTCTCTACGAATTGAAGATTGCACCTCATCATATCTTGGATCATCATTTATTAATCGTTTTATCTTTGTTTTATACATATACAAATATATAAACATTTATTTTAATATAAAAAGTTAATAAATTTTTTTTTAAAAAAAACCACAAGTGTCAATTAACTTTTCTCCAACTTGAATCATATTTTATTTCTCTTGTTTCCATTAAAAGCATCGTAAATTCTTCTTCAGCTCTTTTTTGTTGAGCTTTTTTACCTAAAAAAAAAAAAAAAAAAAAAAATAGCAAAATTTAATGTATAGCATTCATACTAAAAATTATTCAAAATCAATATATATATATAATTACGTTGAAATTCTTTTTCTTTTAAGTCATCAACATGATTTCTAAATAATTTTTCTCTTTCTTTATCATCCGAAAAATTCTTAAACCTTAAATCTTTTTTAAACATTCGTCTAAACTCATCCCAATGTGATCGATGAGTTGTTTCTTCCTCCAATAATTTCGAATATTCATCTTTTGCTGACATATGCTATGATGAAAATCAGTCGTTAATTAATATTTGTTTACATGTAAAATAATTTTTTAACGCTTACCAATGCCTTATTCTTTTTTTCAGCTCTAACTTCTACAGCTCTCTCTTTACAATATTCGTCAAAATATTCTTTTCTTTGTTTTAATGTTGGAATCACTACCAAAAAAAAAAAAAAGAAATCGTTAATTTCAAATCTAATAAAGAAATTTTATTATTATAATAACATACATGTATATCTTGAATCATGTATAATTCTTGGTAGTTCTTTTTCCCACATTGCAAATGGTGAAACGTCCATATCCCTAAGAAGACTCTAAATAAATAAATAAACGAACAAATTAAGTATTGATGCTTTCATTCATTTTTCTCTCCTTGCTATATTCAATCTTACTTTAAACATCAGAACACGCTCTTCAGGTGATAATTCAACCTCTCTATTTTGTTCTTTAAATGATTTTTGAGAATTATCAATTCCTCCGCCAGTCATTTCATACTTTTGCAAATCAGAATGTTCATCAAGCTTAACACCACCGGCCAATAATTCTTGTTCTTCCATGAATTGAAGTTGAAAAGATATATCTTCTTCAGTTAATCTAATGTATCAATTATTTAAATAATTAATTTAATTTAAAAAAATAATAAAGAAATTTTCTCTTTTTTTCATTGAAAAATCTTACTCTGTTCCCTCCATCCCACCATCAATTCTTCCTTTAGCTCTTTTCACATCTTCACCATCCACTGATTCTTCATCGTCATCAGCCTTCCTTTTAACTCCTACACCCTCATTATTTAATTTATTGTTGTTCTGAGATTCTTTTGCCTCCTGTTCTTTCAATGCCTTTACAGCGTCAGCAATTTCTTCAGGAATTTCCCACACAGATTGTTTAGTTTCAGAATTATAATAAAACTCGTTACTCTCCGTTGTGTTAACAATATACCACTTGGTGTCAAGTATTTGTTTCCTATAATAATTAAGGTTTGAAACAAAATTTTTTATTTTATTTTTTTTTGGAAATAAATACTCAACGAAACCATCTACTTACTTTCCCTTAGACTTTTCTTTCTTTTTTTTTTCCTTTGGTCTATTTTGTTGTGAGGGGTATAGTGACATGTGCAATTGCTGCTGTTGTTGCAGGGACATTGGATGCATGCCACCCATAGGTTGAAAACCAGGTGGTTGTAATAATCCAGGCGGGGATCCCATTGTAGGTGGAGGTGGTGGTGCCATAATAGGCCTTTCCCAAGTACTTTGACCAGTTGTCGCATTATAGTAATAAAGTAAACCATTTGGCGCACAATGTTCAGTCCAACCAGAGGGAAGTAATGGGCGAAAAGGTGGTGCCATGTGAAGTTGTGGCTGCATCGGATGTTGTTGACCAACAGATGTACGCTGTTTTTGGAAGGCTGGAGTATTTGAATGTGGTTGTTCTTGTTCACTAGTTGGAGAACGATTTGAACGATCCATAAGTAAAAAAATTATTTTAATACATGGAAAATTGCCTGATTGGTTAATTTGAAATTGGTTATCAGATCAATCTAGAAAAAAAATTTTTTTTAATTTTCTCAATTATTTAAATTATTTTTTTAAAAAATTTATCATGGAAGATGTAATAACGTTTAATTTTTTTTTTAGAAAACAGATTCATTCTAATTTAATTCATTTATTTATTTATTAAAAAGAAAATAATTAACGTTAGATAATTGTTTACTTGCTATTATATATATATCTCATAGAAAGGAGTTTTCAAACGTTTAGTAGAAGTTGGAAGAGTAGTCTTCATTAACCATGGTAAAGATTCTGGTAAACTCGCGGTCATTGTTGATATAATTGATCATAATAGGGTATTTATATATTATATTATATCAACCAACATGCACATATATTTAACTATTCTTAACCGACCGATTCTTTTATTTCTAGGCACTTATTGATGGACCAATTACTGGAGTTGCACGTCATGTACATCCATATCGTCGTCTTGTGCTTACAGACTTTGTAATAAAATGTTTTCCAAGAGGTGGTGGTTCAACTGTAGTAAAGAAACATTTTGAAAAAGAAAAAATTTTGGAAAAATGGAACAAAACATCATGGGCCAAGAAATTGGATAGTCGTGATAGGAGAGCAAAATTGTCCGATTTTGATAGACATAAATTATTGAAATTAAAGAAACAGGTAATGTGTATATGTATATATATAAATATATTATATATATATAAATATATTGCAAATCTATATACTTTTTGTATTTTATTATTTGAAAATCTTAAATTTTTAATTTTTTTTTATATAATAATCATTAGCGTCGTTACATTCTTCAATCAGAAATATCATGCATCAAAAAGAAGTCTAAATAGTGTGTGTTTAAGAGAGATAGAGAAGATGAAGAATATTACTTTATTTTCATTGTTTTAAAAAAAAATATAATCTGTATCATTTAATAAGATCTATTATAAATTTTTAATCGTAAATTTATGTCTATTTTAAAATGATTTTATTATTATATTTCTATTATATTTCACTTGTTGTAATTATGATATGCCAAGATCCAAGTATCTTTTGAGGATTTGCGTGATCTCTGAAATTTTGATTGGTCCTTAACATTAGCAATTATCAATCTTTACTATATTTGGTGTTGTGGAAATATGAAACAAAACTTTATTTTATCGTATCTTCAAAAAAAACATTTTTCTTGTAACGATATAAATAATAATGGATTCTGATAATAAAGTACCTATTTTTTAATTAAAGATTTTGATTAATTTTTTATCACGTTATTTATGAAATCACTTGATGATTATTTTTAACAGTCTCAAGAGAACATTACCACCGAAGAACAAGCTACTGAAAATTCTGAAGAAACAAATTCCAATAGTATTTATAATTATTTCATTATTTCATTGATTAGCATAACATTTCAAAGCAATAATAATAATAATCGAAATTAAATAAATATATAAAAGAGGAAAAAAGACTAGCTAGAATTGAGTATGACTACGAAGCTCGCGAAGACGATGAATTGTCGCTTGAAAAAGGAGGAATTATAACTGTTATTGAACAAGGTGAAGGTGGTTGGTGGAAAGGTGATTTGAATGGAAAAACTGGTATATTCCCCGAAAACGTTAGTAGTTGTTGAATTGATTCTTGAATTTGGCAATAATCAACAAATATATTATTATGTGGCTCGTATTATTTCCTTGCGTGTGTTATTTGTGATTAATTGACTACTTTACGCATCCACAGCATGTCAAATTGATCGAAGTTACCGATCAATCAAATGATGTAAATGACGGTGAACAATCCGAGGGCAAAGGTTGGTATTAATTATATACTCATCAATCACACACACACACACACACACACGATATTATTAATATATGACGATATTAATTATTATACATTCTTTACCAAAAAAAAAACCCCCAGGGAAATTTACAAAAAAACTAGCAATTTATGGTGTAAAACAAGGCGGGATTGGTAGTTTGTTTTCTGGTGGAATTCCAACTTTGGGTAAAAAGAAACGCAGTCAACAACCATCAGATTCTAGTGCTGAATCAAACGACAACAATGAAGGAAAACAACTTCATGAAACAACTCCTGTACCATCAAAGAAAACAATAACTCGTCGAACCACAAGTTCTGATGATTCCGATTCTCATCCCAAAATAGGTAATTTACCATCTCCACCTAAACCAGAAGAAATCGTAACAAAGCCTGCATCTTCGCTGCCCCCATTGCCCAAAAAATTACCACCAAAACCCAAAAAATCTGGTAATTATATTATTGTCAAAAGGATTTATTTAAGAACTTTGTGTATTATTATTATTATTTATACTATTATTATTACATTGTAAAATAAATTTTAAATAGAATTAAAAGCTAAAGTGTTGTATGACTATGATGTTGAGGGCGAAGGTTTGTATAATCATCATTATTATTTCAAATCAATTAAAAAATTACGGATATTTATAAATTTTATTATTTTATTTGATTACGAAAAGATGAGATTGCGTTAGTTGCTGGCACAACCATTACAATTTTGGATAAGACTGATGATGGTTGGTGGAGAGGAAAAAACGATCAAGGAGAAGTTGGATTATTTCCATCGACGTATATTGAAGAAATTAAAGCTCAAGAAACTAAAACTCAGGAAATTAAAACGCAGGAAGCTAAAACTCAAGAAGCTAAAACCCAGGAAGCTAAAACTCAAGAAACTCAACCAACGGAAACTTTGAAAGTCACTGAAAAAATAAATGAACCAGAATTGGAAAACAAGGTTGGCGTTGATGTTGATGCTGATGTCGATGCAGATGTCGATGTCGATGTCGATGTTGATGTTGATGATACTGATGATGTTGCTTCACCAAAATCATCATTGACTAGTTCAACACAACCCAAATCGGTAGCAGAGACCACTTCTGACGAACAGCAAGCTTCCTCTGTTTCCAGTAAGAGTAAAAGGCCGGCCTCTCTTCATTCACAATCTTCAGATGTGCCAAATTCAAAACAAGCCTGGAGTTATGAAGATTCACCAACATTACCTAAATCTCCACCTCCACCTATTACTGCTTCAACAACAACAAAAAAAAATTCAATTCACGAATCTCCTTCTCCGACGTCGACATCCACAGTACCATCACCAATTACATCTCCACCCGGTAAGCCAAAGTCACCATCGTCTCCAGTAACACGTAAACCTTCAAAAGTGACCCCAAAAGAAAAAAAAGTCAATGATGATAACAACAATGTTGCTATTGTTCAAGGAACAAAATTATCATCATCTCCTCCTCTTTCGGCCTCGGATATAATCACTGATTATGAAAATTCAAGTGATAATGAAATTGCAACTTCACCAATCGAGCGACACCCAATAGCACCACCTAGAGTACCATCAAGGCCTACATCACAAATTGATGTTAAATCAGATACAAACAAGTCATCGCCACCACCATCTCAACCACCATTAACAAAACTACCACCAATTCCTAGATTTGCACCTGCGAAGCCACCTTCTGTACCAGTCAAAAAAACATCAACATCATCCTCATCCTCATCCTCAAGCACTAGATCCGCAATTAAATCACGCGAAGTTAGTGTTGAGACGTTATCCTCACCAAAAGAATCTTCAAACGTTGATGATGATGTTGATAATGTTGATGATGATGAAAAACTGGAAAAGGTTGGATCGCCATTACAAGAAATCAGCAATCAAGAATTAAGTGAAACTCATTCAACCAATATACAAGATGAATCCAATATTGGAAACGACAAATCAGATGAAGAAATTGAAAATATTGTTAAAAAAGAAACAAATATCGAACAAGAGATTGCAGAAGAAGAAGAGGAAATAAGTCAAGCAGCCGCTAATGAAGAAGAGGAAGAAAAAGAGGAAGAGGAAGAGGAAGAGGAAAAGGAAAAAGAGAAGGTGGTGGAGGTTATAAAGAAGGAAGAAGAGGAGGAGGAAGAAGAAGTGGTGGTGATAAAAGAGGAAGTGGCGGCAGAAGTGGTAGTAAAGGAGGAGGAGGTGGTGTCGGTGGTGGAAGAAGAAGAAGTGGTGCTGGTTGAAAAAGAAGTAAAAAAACCATTGGCAGTGCCACCAATTACTAAGCTTTCAAGTCTGGGAAAAGATAGACCAGCTATAAGAGGTAGAAGAATCCCCACTAACAAGAGTTCTAAAGATAGTTCTGGTCCAAGCCAGAATGCTTTATTGGAGGAAGCATTAGCATCTGTTAGTATATTTAAGAAAAAACAAATCTGGTTTTTTTAATATAATGAATAATAAATATTTTTTTCTTTTTCAGGAAAAGAATGAAGAAGAATCAAAACCATCGCCTCCACCATTGCCTTATAAACCTGAAAGACCAGTGAAACCAAATATGTTTAAATTACCAATTGCAGGGGCTGGATTACCAGCTGTACAACTTAGACAAACCCCAAGAAGACCTGTTGAGCCACCGATAGAATCCTCGTCTAATAATAATAATAATAACAATAACGATAACGAGTCAACAACGAAACCAGTTATTGGTGGAGTAAAATCCTTATCATCCAAATTTAACCAATTTTCTGGTATATCGAACCAATCAGATGTTGAATTTAGATTAAAGAAATTGTTTAATGAGGAGATAGCTAAACTTAAAAATGATTTCGAAACGAAATTGGCTCAAGAGAGAATTAAAAGAGAAGAGCTTGAAGAAAAAATCCAAGAATTATTGTACAAACTTGAAGGATAACTTTTAATTATTAAAAGATAAAATAACAAACATGATTACAAAATATTTATATAGAGACTTAATAATTTTTTTTCCTCCTTTTAATTTAATTAATTATAATAGCTATTCATTCATTCATTGATTGATTTATTTATTAGATAATATTTATTTATTTTACATAGTGGTTATTTTTTGTTTATTATTATTATTATTATTTAATTATATATTTATTTTATTGTTAGTACATTGATATGATAAATGGATAGTATTAAATAAAAATTATATTATTTTTGCGATACAAATACATATATATATATACATAAATGATGAATTAAGAAATTTGATAATTTTCTCTCCATTCTTTTCCTTTTAAACAAATGATGATTAATAAACCAATGCTAAAGATATTAAAAGAAGCCAATATAGTTAATGACCATCCTATACCCAAAGCATTGGCCATTGGTAATATTAGCACAGACATTATCCCAGCTGAAATAAATGCAAATAATTTATTTAAGGCGACTATTGATGCGCTGGATTCTGGATATGCATCTACTAGATAAGTCTCCTGTGGATTTAATATCAATTGAGTTGACAATGAAACTAAAGATAAAATAATTAAAAGTCATTAATTTTGTGTAAATAAATAAATTAGTTTACATAAAATTAAAAATCGATTTGAAAATTACATACATATAAACATAAACACCATTGGTAATATTATATTGAAATGAATTTCAAGCAACCATCCGTAAATCATATAAGTTAAAGGCGTTAATATTGCACCTGCCCAACCTGAATGGATTCTAAGTTCAGGATAAGAAACATTGTTATTCTTTTTGGTTAATCTATTGTACACGACATCTGACCATTTACCACCAGCAAAACACCCAATAACAAATCCCGAGCCGGGAATTAAATAAATCAAACCAACATCAAAAGAATTAAATCCATAATCAATTATTAAAATTCTTGGCACTATTATATGTTGAACATATATTGTTATTGCTGATAATGAACAATAAAGCATCGCAAGACTAGCATTCTTGGATTTCAATAACTTGAATGCTACAAATGGATTGAAACTAATTTTTGTTGAAGATGCAGATTTTTCTTTACGAAATGTTTCAGAAAAAAAAATCAATACGAAAATAAACAAAACTCCAGAGAAAATTGACAGGAACCAGAAAATCCACCTCCATCCAAAATTTAGTGCTATTGATCCGCCAACGATTGGTCCAATCAAAACACCAACAAAAAATCCAATATAAAACACTCCATAATGTTTCCCGCGTTCTAATAGTAATTTTAATTAGAATTTAATAACAATAATTACTTTTTCTTTTTCCTCTTCCCCTTTCTACTCTTCTTACCTGATGGTATATACAAATCACTTATACATCCCGCGCCTACACTTTGAGCAACCGAAGATCCACCTTTTTTTGTTAATGATTTTCTAATCATTATTATTATATGTATGACAGACGGTATTTAAAAAAAAAAGTATTTCAAGGAATTTTTAAATTTTACATGCTTGTAATGCTCTCATGGCCAATAATAATTCTATCCTATTTGATATTGCACATATTATACTCGATATCAGTAATAATAGAAGAGCAACAAGAAACACGTTACGTCTGGTAGATCTCATGTCTGAATACGAGGCCCAAAATATTGGCTTTGTGGTAGAATAATCAAAAATTAATAAATTATAAATTAACTATTTAATTATCTTATTTTTAAATATTTACCGAAACACCCCAGAATATCATGAAAATACCAACTGTGTTCAAAATTTATCATGACATTAGCTTTTTTTTAATGAGATATTCATTTATTCATTTATTCGCTTTTTTACTTACTCAATGCATTTACATATGTTTCATTATCGATTCTTAGGTCTGCAAGAATATTAAGCAGTGCCGGGTAAAGAACACTATACACAAATTAATACTTTGATCTATCGGCTACAATAACGATAAATGATATAACTTACGAATTTGCTAATGGTCCAATCATATTTAAAAAACAAAGCAATATTAAAATTATTAATTTCTTTTTTTGCGACCATTTTTTTGGATCATCGATGATTTCTATGCCTTTATCATCTTCATCAATGATATTATCTTCTATTATTTCAATAGTACAATTTTCTTTATTTTTCATTATAAATCTCAAATAATTTTTTTATTTTTTTTTTGCATAGGAAAAAATTTAAGATAAAAACATCTAATTTTTTTTTTTTTTGTAAAATACCATATTTTAAATGAAAATGAATGAATGAATGAATATGTTTGTTAGTGTGTATGTGTATTTTTTTAAAACTTTATTACTATTGTGTGCTAAGAAGAAGTTAATCGTCATCGATATGAAAAATTCTGAGATCAGTAAATCAATATGGTAATAGAGGCGTTCCCGTTCCTGTTTTCTGATTCTTGTTACACGATAAATCTAATTTTTATTAGCTGATCAGAAACGCAACATACTAATACTAATATATTTAATATTTAATTTTATTAATATATATACTAACCCCTTATTCGAATATTCGTAATTTTTATGGAAATGATATTCGATTCTAATTCTTTATTCGAATATATCCAGCTGTTGTATGTGAAGTGGGGTGAAATTCTGATTGGCTAATTTGAATTCACATATGTATATTTGAATTTCACGTACGTGAATTCGAATTCATTATACAACCCACATTTGGTAACAGTAATAGTAATAGTAATAGGAGCAGTATTAGTAACAGTAACACCGTAACACACATTCGAATATTCGGATATCTTTACTTTAGGATATTAATATTAATATCATAATATATACTTTATTTGTTTATTAACATAATAATAACAACATTTCATGTCGTTCGTATCTTTCTTCAATAAAATATGAGAGTTCTATAGCAAAAACCGATTCCGAGGTCCTCTGACCGATTTAAGTTTTTTTACATATAATAATAATATATTAATATTACTTGGTAATAGTAATAGTAATTAATGATATATATAAAAAACATACCAATACATGTAACATATTTTGGAGAGATCGTCGTCACTCAAAAAATTCATATAGCTAGCTTTCTCTTGGTCTTTCATGTTTCGTATTATTTGGTGATCTACAAAATCTATCATCGGTAATGGATTCTTCCGACGAAAAATTAGAATTTTATCATTAATTAAATAACGCCAAGACATTCTTACTTGAGGGAATTTTATCAATTTAAGTATTACAAATATTCGTAAATACAAATATTATCATTACTATTGTACATTACTGTTACTATTACGGATATTCGAATGTATTACTGTTACGAATATTAATATCCGACGTTATTACGAATATTCGAATTACTTCTGATAAAAAATAAAAATCTAAAAAATAAAAATGAAAACAAGAAAACGAGAACATCTACTAATAATAATGTAGAACAACAACAATAACAACAAAGTATTCATCCGGTTCGAAAAGTAGCTTCTACTAATAATGTCAAGCAACGACAACAACAAGCATTTATCCAGTTCAAAGGGACTTCTACTACAAATTTAAAAAAAAAAAATAAACTTTATTTTTGTAGATCAGTACCAAAGATAGAGTTTGTATATATAATAATAATAAATTTTCAGAACTTCAAAGCGCCTAATCCAATTTCTTAAATTATTATTATTATAGAACTTATAGAACTGGTGGACCAACTTCATGTTAAGATTATCGCTTAGTGGTATTTGTTTACCCTGGCAACAAATACATCAAAATAAAGGTTTTTCATATATTTGTTATTTTTTATGATTCAAGTAACAATTTGATTAAATCAGGCAAGTTTTGTATATGAAATAGAGATTGGACCCGTCTAAAAAAACTTCATCCGGGTGACCCGCAGGTTTATCCGACGGGTCAACCGGAATTATTATTTATAAAAATGATTTATAAATCAGACATAATGTTAAACATCATTGTGGTATATATTATATGGAAATTCGCATTCAATGTTCTTTTTCAAAAATATTGATATATTAATATGTAACAAGGCAACTCTGACAATACTGTTGACTAAATTATTATTTATAAGAGGTTGGATAATCTGTATGTTAAATGTCATTGTGACATTACACAAAATCCAAAAACAAAATAATTCATTAGTATATATTAATATGTAACAAGACAACTCTAACGATATTGTTGATAAAATCATTATTTATAAGATATTGGGTAATCAGTATTAAAAATGTTGATAATACATATGAAATGTAAAAAAAATTGAATTATAAATCAGACATCCCATTGTGTTACATTCATTTTTCTCCACCCGGGTGGTAATTTTCATGACCCGAGTGGGTCCAATCTCTAGTATGAAATCGTGATTTTTTTCTTCATTTTTTCATATAAATTCCGTGTTGATCAAAAAAAATTTATTAGTGAGTGACACTTGACCCCCTGTAGATCCACAATGTCCTGCGACTGATAAGTCAGTTTCGATAAGTTTGTTCTCTCAATAAGTCTCAGTCATTCACAGCTGACTTATCAAGTTTACCTGTGTATTGATTGTCATAGAACCACGATTTGTGATCTGTTGTACAACAATCTGGTTGTTTGTAAAAGGGTATTTCTTACCACATGTCTAATATCTCTATTCCTTCTGTTATGTCCAAGTAAGTATATATATATTTTTAAAAAATATCCGGTAAACCAAATATACAGTACTTGGACAAAAGTATCGGAACACTTGCTTTTGTCAATTGCGCAAAAATGTACATAATAGGGCCGGGTTCTGCAATTTTACCGGATTATACCCAGATTGCAGTACGGGTTTGGATATGGGTTTGGGTGCGGGTTTGAATAACCCGGATGTTTGTGCAATCTGAAAATATTATTATTGTAACTAATCAGAATTTGTATCCAAATTTTTATTATTTTACGCGCGTGAATTTTGAAATAGATTCTAAAAATAATAAATATATACACATCTTTAATGAAATATAATAACAACAACAACAATAATTTTTAATTTTTTAATAATAATTTAGTAATATCCCATTAATTTTGATATAATAATCTACCATGTCAGATACATTGACTATTGATCAAATAAGATCTAAATTGAGAGCAGGAGAACTATTTTTAAAAGGGAAGCAAGGAGGAAAAAGTGATGTTTGGGATAAGTTTGCTGAACTAGTTGACTTGGATGACAAGATGATTAAGTATGTTTTTTGTAGGAATTGTGACTATATAACTAAATATAATTATAAACTAGGAACCTCGAATTTATGAAGACATAGGTGTTGCAACTTAGATAATCAATCAAAAATTACTTCATTTTTGCAAAAAAATGGAGCACCAGCAAATGTTAAAGAATTAATAAAAAAAAATCAATAAATTTTGTCTGTCATGATTTGAGACCATTTGAATAAGGTTCCAGACGAATCAAATCAAATCAAATTTAAGAGTGATTCAATTCGATTTGAATCAAACCAGATTCCTAAAAATTTTTTAATGTCATATTAAATTTATATTTTTAATTTGATATATTATACAGTGAATCTCAATTAGTGTGCCTCAATTAATGAATACTGATGGATTGAGGTTTAACGATAATAAAATTCTCCTTGATATGATATTTATTTGAATTTTTAATAATAATGGATTTCTTGATAAATATTAATGGTCATGTGACCTATATTATTAATAATGATAATGAGTAAAAAATTAACACGATTTACATTCATTAAATCTAAAATAATATGTACTAATATTACTAATGAATGATAACAATTTCATGGTCAAAAATGTTGCTTCAACTTTTTCAATTTCTTCAACAAGCACAGCAAGAAGAACAAGAAGAATTGCGTGGAATCATTTTACAATCATAGATGGAAAGGCAAGATGTAATTATTGCTCCTGGTAAAAAATTTTTTTTGAATTTTACAGAATTCATTTTAAAAGATTCACAATAAATAAAATTATTAAAAAAAAATATTTATACTATAGAAATAAATATAAAATAAAAAATATGTTTGTAAATAAAATTATAAAATATACATTAAAATAAAGATTTTTCATTTATTATATATAGTGTATCATGGATTCAAATCAAATCAGTTCAAATCAAATTATATATTTGAATCAGTTCAAATTGAATCAAATTATATATTCAAATCAGTTCAAATCAAATCAAATCAAATCAAATCAAATCAAAGTACAATGCAGATTTGAATTGAATTCGATTTGAATGAAGCAAATCAAAAATTAAGTGATCAGTCAAACGATATGTCACAGGAAGTGTAATTACATATATAAACAAGGAGTTTTCAATTGGAGATAGAGATGCAAAGTTTTTATAAGTTACACATGATTCCCAAAGAAGAAACATTATTACTATCTGACATATCAAAAGCCATTAAATTGTTACTAGATACAACCAGGAAGATTTTCTTAAAATAAATCAAAGTTTATATGTTAATTGTAACTGGAAAATGCATTTTATTAATTGTATGATAATGGTATAGATTAATAAACTGTTGCAATTTAATTATTATTTTTAAATAAAATTCTTTTTTGCAGAAATGCAAATAAAGATATTCAAATGAGTATTCTAAAATAAACAATTATATATATTCTAACAAATATCAGAGTTTGAGTTTCTAGCAACATTTCATACACTTATTATCAATTTTATTGAATTAAGGGCAAGTATTAAATTATTTTTGCACAAAAATATTTATCATATTTTTTTCTTTGGATAAAATAGTGTCAAGACCCTATTATTATTTGGTAATTAATGGATTATTAAGTCGCAAAACTAGGATAAAAATTGATATACTAAGAAATGCACAAACAAAAAGTAAAAAAAAAGTGGTAATATTCTTTTGCCATATAATAATAAGGATTCTACTGATTGAATATTTGAAAACAAAAACTCATCACCAAAGCACTTTCAAGTAAAAGATGAAAAAAACCAATATCTTTTTAACCAAAAGAATCAAACACAATGCCTTTATTTAATTCTCTCGTTTGCCAACTTTACTTTTGATTTTTTTATCAATTCCTTTAACCCTGTAATTCTTCCCAATTCATTTTCTCCATAGTTCAATGCGTTCTATAAGTGCTATACAATTTGCAGATCTGGTCAAAATTTATTTTTTACAGTGCGAGTTGTCTATAATAATGATAGACTCCTGGATAATTCTAATTGAAGTGATAGGAAAATCTATTAGTAATAAATATATAAAAATTTGGTCAATTAGAATTATCTGGGGCCTATAATCAAATAAAAATTGATTTTAGCAAATTTGGTAAGGCAAAAATGAAAAAAGTTCGCTCGTGTAACGACGCGTCTTTAAATTTTTTTATCAAAAGGACAAATTGCTCAAAGAAATTTTTTCATCGAAAATCGATCTAAAATTCACCTACAGGTCGACTTGAAAAAAAAGTTAAATCTTTAGATTTTTTTACTCTTGGATTCTTTTATTGAAAGAAGAAGAAGAATTTTTGAATTTATAATTTTCCAAATTATGATGAGTATTGTATAAAACAATTCATTTTTTGAAGTGGAATTTAATGATGGTATTTTCTTTTAAACCAGATAGGTGGATCACATGATATTTAAAATTTTCATAATTTTGGGTATAGACAACATGCAATGTATTAATAGTATCAGGGTTGTGGAATTTCGCTGTACGAGAAGAACCTCCGTACGTACGACTGACTTCGTACCATTGAGTTCGTACAGTTTCGTTGTGGTCGTACACCTGTACGAGGAAATTTTACATATGTACGTACGTACGTACGTACGAATGTACGAATGTACGATGTATTAGGAACAATGATTTTCTGCAGTGACAAAATATTACTTTGTAAAATCCTATAATAATATTATTATTAAGCCGATAACCCTATTATATAATTAATGGATTACCAGATGTTGTAACTGGGGTCGTAATACTATTTCATTACCAGAAAAAACCTGATTATCATGTTATATATATGCTTTTTTAAATCCCTTGTTATTATGTAGTAGTATTATTACGTTATTATGATAGTCAGTGTTGTGCAATTTCGTTGTACGAACGTACGATAATTTTCTGTGGTGATAAAATATTATGCTGTCAGCCCTATTACTATTACGATTACTATAATTAAAGGTCGCAACAGATCGTAATACTACTTCGCTATCAGAAAACCCCTGATTATCATATTATAATTACATTATCCTGGGTGCATTATTGTTAATAGTATTAGTAGTATTATTATTACCGTGATTCCTAAATTTTTTTTTCTATTTATTTATAATGAAATAAAAAAATTATCTTTACATTCTTGTTAATTATATTATCAATTCAAAATAATTAATAGTGGTATTAAACATGTATGTGCTTTATAAGCCGGAAATAAATTTTTGATGGCTTTTATCTATAACATCAAATTTATAGCATTATATTAATTTACGTGTTGCACGAATTTTTTTATTACGCAACAAAACAACCACGTAACAACAAGATGAACGGACATCCATCAACAACTGACACTCTTTCTCTCGCTCTAGCTGCCAGTCCTACTTCAACATCTCAACAGCTGCTCCTACTTCAACTGTCAACAGCAGCTCCCACCCTCATTCCCACTCCTAATCTAGTGGATGTGATTATTTTCCAGTATGAATAAATTTACCACCACTATTATTATAATAATAACAGCAACAACAAATAGACAGTGGTGGTAATGTCAATAATAATAACATTAATATTAATAGTAAGTTATATATGTTTGTTATTTTTTTAAAATATTAATATAAAAAAATGCATAATGATAAATTCATAATAATAAATTCATTCTTATATTTCTTTTAAATAAAACAATTATTTAGCATACTAAAGGAAAATAATCAATGTAAATCATCTTGAAAGATGATGGTTTTTTTTTCTCACGTTGAGTTGTTGTTTATCTGCCACTAAGAGAGAACTGGAAGCTCTTCGTGGCCACAACTTGTGAAATTTGCCAATTAGGTAACCAGCCCTAATGTATGGCAGATGATCTGTTGTGAACGTCCTTCTCTACACCAACCAAAAAGCCTGCTGATGTGGATCAGGGCCTGTGGTAAATATGTGAATTAAGAGACTAGAAGCACTTTGTGGCCACAATTTATGAAAGTTGCCAATTAGGTAACCAGTCCTAATGTATGGTAACAATCTGTTGTGAACGTCCTCCTTAATTCTGGCAATGATCATAACTCAAATAATGGTGATAAAAGGCTTATAAAGCATTATTTCATTTTTCATACTAGTGTCAGAATTTAGGATCCATAGCATCTACGATGTTAGTATACCGAATCAATGGCACTATATTGAGAAGTGTATTTATTAGATTCAATACCAATAGAACATAACATTGGATCTATTATATTATATTCAATTTTGAAGTGCGGGGCATTTATGTCTGAACACCCCCACTAATGAAAATTTTAAAAGAAGTAATTAAATTTGAAAAAATTTAAAATTTGTGTTCAGAGGGGAAGAGTTTCACCATCATCCCCACATTATTCAAACTTTTTATTTTTATTTTTCCTGTTTTTTTTTAAAAAAACATTCTTCTTTTAATGTTCATTTATGCATGGCTCTAATATTATTATCTGAGTGATGCACTTTTGAGTTATACCAAATTTATTATTACTACATTCATATATGAATGTAAATTTAAAAATTTAAAAATTTCTTGTATATAAAAAGGTATGACTTACCTAATCATTATTAATTAATATAATACACTCACTAGACAAAAGTCAGGCGCATTTTTAAACAAAAATTGCGCAAAAACATACTTAATAATAATTAAATAG